ACGTGCGCCTGGGACGGGGCCAGCCCAGGAAAGGGACTTCCTGGCCGCCCTTCTCCCAGGGGGCGGGGCACCCGGGCGCAGGGCCAATGAGGAGCCCTGCGAGGGGGCAAGTCCCATGAGAGAGAGAGAGAGAGAGAGACAGAAGTGCAAGTGCAAGTGCCTCTGTCTCTGTCTCTCTCTCTCTCTCTCATGGGACTTGCCGGAGGGCCGTGGGAGGGCCGCATTTACATAGAGCAGGGAGGGCTGTTCGAGGGCCGGATTAAACCGGAACGCGGGCCGCAAATGGCCCGCGGGCCGGACTTTGGACATGTCTGGACTAAAACTTCCATCACTAAGAAAAATGGTTGTTAAGTGAGTCATTCAATTTTACCACCTCTTTTGCTGCAGTTATTAAGGGAATCATCACGGTCATTAAGTGAATCTGGGTTCCTCCATTGACTTTGCTTGTCAGAAGCCAGCTGGGAAGGTCACAAATGATGATCAGATAAGCCCAGGACTCTGCAGCCATCATAAATAGATGCCAGTTGCCAAATACCTGAATTTTGATCACATGTCCATGGGCATGCTCTGTCGGTTATGAGTACGAGGTTTGGCCATAAGTCACTTTTTTCAATGCTGTTTAACTTGAAAAGGTCAGTAAAAGAATGGGTTATAAACCAATACCTGTGTATTCTAATAAAATACCAAGATTTCTTGTGATCTCTGAAAAATAATATCAATAAAAAAACTTTTTGTTAACAAAAAGGCTTAATGGACCTTCAATCGGTGCACAGAACTCACTGGAAATAAATTCATGGTACTTTTTAAAACTGCCATGTGCATATTAACTCATCACAAGAAAGCTACCATAAAACAGCCAATTTTAAATTCCAGATAGGTGATAATCTGAGTTACTTTTGAAATTTAATGTACATATTTTGAATGTCATTGATCAATTGATTTATGTTTAGAAATATATGCATGTGACCTTATGTATTTGTACAATATTCTCCTCTGGTATTTCTTTAAATGTAAAACAAGTTTTACAACATTTAAAATATTTTGTTTTACTACTATATTTAATGGTTCAATCTTTCTAGACTGCATACAACTTTTTGTTTCAGCAATATAGTTCAATTGTTGGTCATTTTCATCCTAATTTTAAATTGCAGTATTTTATTTTATTGCCCTTTAGAAACTTACTTGCAGGTTCTCTTCAATTTATTTCTTTTTTGCCCTCTTTGTTGTCTTTTATGTATTGTTAATAACAGTGCTTTTTTTGTAAAAAAAAAAAAAAAAAAGGTGCCGGAACTCACACGTCATACAACCCGCCTTGCCTACTCTACAAGTTTCCATCCAAAAGTGTCGGAACTCCGTTCTGGGCGTTCTATGACAAAAAAAGCCCTGGTTAATAAAAGTTTAATTTTCCCCATGTTTAAGTGTGCCATAGATAGAAGCACACTTCTGTACTTAGATTAGGAATGGGGATATCCAGGTTTTCTCATTTAAACTTACTGTGTGACATGGGGTCAGTTAGTCTCAATCCAACCTACCATACACATTTCTTGTGGGGAAAATGTGAATTACCTTTTACTCTGAAATGAAAAGTAGAATAGGAATCAAATAAATACATAAAATCTGTTTATTTTCATATCTTGCAAAGTTCTAGGCCACAGGTTGGCAACCTGCGGCTCCGGAGCCACATGCGGCTCTTTGAGCCTTCCCCTGTGGCTCCCAGCCTCCTCTGCCATTTGCAGGGAGAGACAGAGACAGAGAGAGGCACTTGTGCTTCCCTGCTTCTCTCTCTGTCTCTCTCTGTCTCTGTCTCTCTGTGTTTGTGTTTTTGTGTGTATATGTGTAAAAGAGTGCACTCACGGTGTTCTCCGACAAGCTGAAAAGCTTTTTGGGCGGGGCTCCTCCCTTTGCTGCGTCTCTGCAAGAAGCAGGAAGGGCAGGAGAGAGCTAGCTA